GACTCCAAACCTACAGTGTATAAAATAAATTGTACCTTCATGGAAGGTTCATGTGTAGGTCTCATGCTGAAATTTTACTACAAGGCACCTTGAAACGGGAGTTGAACCTTGAGGAATGACCAATTCTACAAAATCACACCAGAACTGGTATCAAGAAAAACTGAGACCAACACAGATAGCAAGTGGCCTGAGATGAGTTAGGGTGGCAGTAAGTCCTGCTTCACAGAAAGCTGTCCTCTTTTTGGCTGACTGTCAGATGACACAACTCTCTTTAAAAGGCTGACCTACCTTAATTCAATCTAAAGGTAAAGCACCATAAGAATAAAGAATAGGAGTCATGGAGCAGATTCAGCCGAATGTGGATTACTTCGTCACAGACTTTTCCAGTGTTGTGTCAAATTTCTATTTGAATTATATAATGCAAAACCCTTCTGCAGATTCTGCCACAGATAGACCTAAGACAGTAAATGCTGCTTTTTCTGTGGGCCTTCATTATGGAATAATTTGCCAAGCCAATTCTTTGTTATAGTTTTTAAAGGCTTTTTTTAGGATATTTATGCTGATGGTTTTTAAATGCTTGTATGAGAGAGAGTTGAGCATGAAACTGAGCAAACTCAGGGAGGCAGTGAAGGACAGGAAGGCCTGGCGCAATATGGTTCATGGGGTCACGAAGAGTCGGACACGACTTAACGACTAAACAACAACATGAGAGAGAGTGTGTGTATCCACCATGAGCCATTTGGGAGTAAGCAGTATATAAATCTGTAAATTAAACAAATTTGAACATAAACATAGAAATATGCAATTTTTGTATGAATCAGTGGTCTGTTTTGTCCTTTTTAAATTGTGCATAAAAGATTAATGTACAGTTACATATAAAAAAATATGGACTTGATAATAAGAACAGTTGGATGATATGGAACCATTGTTCATCTACATGATGATGATGGGACCAAGATCAAGTTAAGATGAAGTAGTATTGTATTATTTATAATTGCCTAATATATTCCCAGATCTATTTCAAAAAGTAAATGTTGTCTTTTGAAAGTATTGTAATCTATCCTTCCTGACATGGTTAATAGCAGTATCATTATGGAAGACTGGTTTTGTTTTGTTTTTTTGAGAGCACTTTAAAGATGCCAAATCTTTAATCTTATTTCATGCAAATTGTTAAAATGAATTCCTTTTGTCTAATTGTTTCATACAGTTCTATGTAGGTTAGAAATCTTATGTTCCACATACCATATAATGTGGTACATTTTCTCAGCACTAAAATTAAAAGAACCAAAATGCTCTGGTTGGCATTCCCCCACAACCTAGGAGTTTTTTTCTAGTTCCAAATATCCAATATCACTAAATATATTTTATAAAACAGATTAGGAAAATTATTTCCCTGTCAAGTTCCTAAAACAAGAGAGAAATAGTGCAGTATGCAGCTAAAATATTGCACCACAGATTACCTAAATCAGTTGTGAAACAATTATAAAATGCTAAAAGTTCACCAAGGTCTAGCTTATATTATGGTTCTGTATTACACTCCAAAAGTTAATTGGTACACAGACAGGGTCCACATATTATGGAAAGTGTTGTTTGAATTCAGCCAACTATCTTGTGTTCAAGAAGCCATGATTAAAACAAATCATGTGTAAATCAGGTCTTATTATGTATTCAGATCCCAGATGTAACATGTAGCTGAGGATAGTTTAGGAAAGAGATGTTAGGACAGGTCAACATCCAGTTAACACAAGAGGTTAAGCAATAGAGAAGGATAACTTGATTATCTTCTGAAGTTTGGATGTTCTCAGAGGGAGCAAGGATCTATTAACAAACTCCACCTTAGAATGACCGACACTTTACAACCTGAAATGGTTCAGAAAATAAGAAAATTCCTTAAATCTCTCCCTCTCACACTTCTAGTATTCTTTCCCCCAAATAGTAATGATGCTCTAAGCCTCGGGCAGAGATTTTACCCATCATATGTTATCTAATTGATGCCAAGTAATAGGAAATTTCTGCAAGCAAAACATATTCTCTATTACTTGGTTATGGTCTTTTCTCAAATGCTGACATTTGGCAAATATCTACGTTTTTAATTGCTTTAACATCTTTAAATGTCTCTTTAGGATGGCTTCAATAACTTCATAGTTGTCCTGGATGAAATCTCACCTTTTCTCAAAATATTTAAGGACTTCTCCATATGCTGTCTGCACTGCCTTGGGATCAACTATGGATCTGATTGATCTCATAACATTGGGAGCTGGATCTATTTATTTCTAACTCTGTTTTTTCGTTAAACCATCTATTATGCTGGGCTGTTTTCCTGTTGGGAGGAATTCTCATCTCACCCCAATTTTGGCTCTTGGGCTCAAGTCAGCCATTACTTTCCTCCCCAACAGATAGGTAGCATCTGGTCCACTTGCTTCTTCTTAAATAACTTATCTTCCCCCTCCACAATCCAGGTGTTGTTGCAACATTGCCACCACAATCATACCTATTGGGAAAAGGCTCTGTTGCAAAACTGCCAACATGCAATTTTTTTATCTTCACAAGTCACAGGAGTTTTTTTGATACAGCATATAAGTGGCAGCATGGTAGTCTTGGATTTTTAAAATTAATCAGCTTTCTTTTAACACAGCTTCTCCTCAAAGTATGAGATGATTTTTACAAACCGTCAGACAAATTCATACAAATACATGCAATGAAAAACATGAAAGGGAGAATGATAGCAATTCATTTTATAATTTCAAGATGGATTAGATATAAGAGTGGGGGGTGGGTTACTCCATGATTGGGAGTAGTTTGGGGGGCTGGACACTAACTGGATTCAATTCTTTGTGCTCTTGTTCA